AATTTTTATTTTGTTCAAGCAGGTTACCAGATATTCCAGAGATTAGAAGTTTTGATAATGACATAGAAAATGTAGGTACATCAGCAATAAGCAGCTATGATCAGCCAACTCCGAATATTGATCAAAGCTCCCAATAACACATCAAAAGGTAAAAGAAAGCAATACAATGATAATTACTATATTTCATCTTTTTAATTATTCATCTATATTTTTATGTATAAGTATAAGTAGATATTACAATGAATAGAATTGTGTTTCATAAATAAATCAAAAATTTCGTCAGTTAGCATATGTGTTTGCCTTAAGTATTTTAAATATTCGAATCAAGATTACTTAGCCATATTCAAAAATACGATTAATATAAACTTGTTAATTATTATATATTCTTATTATATTCAATATTTTTATAATTAATAAATTATGATATTTCGTTAAGTATTAAAATTGTTATATAAATTAAAGAATGGTTAGAAATTATTCGAATGGAATTTTGTATGTCGAATATAATGAAAATTTGAAATTTGAGTTTACCGTGAAAATATTTATTAATAATAAAAGTGTTTGTTAAGGCTCCTGCATATTCGCCGCGGCTATGTTAGATTGTGATGTCAGATGCGAGAAAATTTCAATGCTATTTGTAAATAAAAAGTTATTTTGATGAAACAGAGAACTTCAGATGGCTTTAGCATACTTTTAAAATATCCCGAGCACTGTCCTTTTTTTTATAATCAATTAGCAGATGTAAATGTGACAATAATATAATATGAAATTTGAGGTTTAATCTGTATATATTCTCGCACGCATGCACAGCCATTTCGCAGGACAAAGTCTAATGTTTTAATTTTATTTACGGTTATAAATTGACTGCGCCAATAGAAAAAAATAGTTTTCGAAGCATTTTAAAAGAGTGATAATACCATCTAAGGTTGTGCTTTATCAAAATATTTTTCGTCCTAAATGGCACGCAAAAATTCTAAAGTATATTTTTTGTAAATATAAATTTTAAAGTGTAAGATAGGCAATAAGAGCCATTCGCGGAAGACAGTGCGTTATCCTAACAATACTAAATTTTCTCGTTAGAATTTAATATCTTGTGTACAGGGCATCAAATTTTACTTGGTCACGGCCAAGATTTAAAATATGAAATAATCTCATTTTTGAGATTTAATTTCAATAATCCTATAACCCCCCTACAGAAAATAAATAAATGCAAGAGAAAAATATAGATCCGAAAGTCGCTGAATCGGGAATCGAACCCGAGACTTTTCGCTTGCCGAGGACTGCTCTTCCACTGAGCTATTCAGATTTTTTCGATTCTATACTTTTCTCTGTTACAGAGCCGTGTTAAACTCTTATTCGTATATTTTTTGCTTCTGCGTTATAATCTAACATAGCTGCGAGTACCAAAAAAGCCATAATTACACAATTTATATTTATTAACTATACATTGTACATACACATTATTTAAACAAGACATTATAATATGATTAATTCAGTAAATTTTATTTGTAATTTGTTTAGATTATTAAATGATATAGATTTAGATATTTCGAGTGATGATGATGATATTGAAAATAATGCTACATCAAGCTGTCAGCAATCATTTAGAGTATTGATCCAAATTCCCTAAAAATTTAACTAACGAGGTAAAAGAAAATTACGATAAAAATGTATTACTGTGTATTGTATATAGTATATCATCTCTTTCAATCATTTATCTACATTTTTATATACATAAAAGTGAATATTAAAATAAGTAGAATTGTGTATAATTGAATAAAATCATAAAATTTAGATACAATTATTATATGTTTATTGTAAATAATTAAAATATTTCAGACAACACATAATTTTTGGTAACCAAAATTATATCAAAAATACGGTAATACCAATTCGTTAATTTACTATGTTCAACATTCGTGTAATGATTTTGTGACAATTTAGATAAATGTAATTGTAGAAAATTATATGAATTGTATAATTGATTGGAATTTAATACTTGAAAAAAAATATTTATATATCGAATTTATGAGAATATTGAATTCAAGTTTTTCTGTGGAAGATGTTTTAATAAAAGTGCTTTGTATAAATAACAGTTTATATTTAAATAATTATACATTGTGCGCATTATTCAATCAAGACATGTATTAAATCAGTTAATTAACAAATTTTTTTATTCTGTGCAGATTAGTGACGATGACAAGTTTGAATGAAGACTTAATTACTAACAATGATGGCCAAATTATTTTCCTTAAGGAGTTTGAAATGGTAATTAAAATTAGGATGCTTGCTATTACGGATATAATAAAATATGAAATTAAAAATAATTGAATGTGTATTTTATGTAATTAAATGTGTATTAAATTAAAACGATTGATTTAGATGTGTATTAAATTTTGGGTATTTTTATGTAATTAAATGTGTATTAAATTAAAACGAATAAATTTGACGAGATTCGGTCGAAAGTTTCATTTCAAGATAAAATTCTAAATTTTCTGTGAAATATACGTGTTGGTTCTAACTTTTTTTTTGAGAAAGCGTGCAAATATTGTTACATAAATAGATTCTTCGTGTACATAATAGAAAATTTGACAAATCAAAATTATATACATATTGTAGAATTAAGAATTATGATTATGCATATAATCAACATACAGCAAATTAAAATTTCATGATATGGAAATTCGCCGAATCAAAATTATGAACTATAATATAGAAATTATTCTATGTGTATCCAAACTTGTGAAGGGTACTGTATGCAATAAATAAACAAATGTCCATTTATAAACTGTTTTTGTGTATCACGATTAATATATTTTAAATAAATATTGATAAAAAAACATTCATTAGTTAATTTTTGCATGTTACAATATTAATTAAAAGATATTTTTTTAGAGAATTTTTCCCTTAAATTAAGACGATCCTTTTGACAGATCTGTGCAGATTTTTTGTATAAATAAATCATATAATAAACATTTAAATAATTTTTATTTTAACAGATCGTGCCATGCAATTCTTTCACTGAATGTAAAGTGTTTCCAAACTTATGGAGGGTACTGTATAATATATAATTTTAACTATTTACATGAACTATTTTCTCTTCGAGTATAAAATCCATAAAATATGTCTGAAATTTTGAAGAATTATTAACGCAGATTAAGAGAATAATATATAATATTTTTCATACCATTATATAATAAGATTATTAAAAATCTGTAAAATTTATAGTAAAATTTAAAATTTAACGAAAAATAAACTGTCTGTATATAATTTTTATTTAACATAATTTTGACTATTGTTTGAATTATTCATCCTCTATCTCCTTCTCTATAAAATATAGAGTCTGTAAATAATATCAGTAAGTTTGACGAATTATTAACAAAATTGAAGTAAGGAATTATTTACACATATTTTCTGTCATATACAAGATGTCCCAATTTACAAGATTACTCATTAATGAGATTCTTAAGATTATTTAAAGACGATTTTTTCTCTCAAAAAGGAAGGTGATCTTTTTGCAGGCTCCTAATTTTTGTTACCATATATTTTTGTGATAAGTTTAAATTAAAATTTTAGTATATAAATTAAATTTAAAATTAACTGAATAATGTTATTGTGTTGATAATTTATTTTTACAAGGCTTATTAGCGAAAAACTTTCATTTACAATTGCTTATAATATAAATTATTAATATCTCGACATTTAATCCATAATTAACCATAAGTCTGGGACACCCTGTATATTATATATATATATATATATTATATATATGTATATGTACCATTTATCAGGTTTTTCAACGAGTTTCGTCTCAAATTCAAGAACGAGTGAGTGCGAAACAAAAACGCAAAGAGACTAAACTTGTACATGAACAAGTTGGTTTTTCAATTTTAGCTTATAAAGCTTTTTTACATACATTACAATTTTCACATAAAAATTTTTTAAAATTCGAGAATTTACATAAAAAAATTATAATTTAAAATTTTGTAAAAAAAAGAATTATTTCACCGATCTTATTTAAATTCAATATCAATCATCTTTTAAAGTACCTACTCTATTTATGTAAAAGAATTTGGTTTAATATTTTAAAATTTACAGAAGTTAGAGCAATTACAAATATTCTTTGAAAAATTGAAGGTACATATTAAAATCTATAACACTATACGAATTTTTATAAAAGTAACGATAAATATAAATTGTACTAATTTACTTACATCCTAAATAAGCTGTGTAGCTCAAACAATTCTTGAGTAATAAATGTTTGATTTTTTGGAAAAGTAGTTTACATACATGCATGCATTAAAAAATATTATTTTATTGAACTGCCCAGAAAAAATATTAACATCTTAATAGCTTAATATCATCGAACTGTAGGCATTTTGAAAATGCAGATTTCCTCCTTCAGCATTTCTAAAGCAATTGGCAGATAAAAGAATGAGACAATATTCCTCTGGAAAAAGACAAATAATGGCCTAACATCTTATTAATAAACAAATATAAATATTTTTTACAGTTGTCATTATTTTTGTTTAGCCCCTGTATATAATAAGCAAATATATTAACATATAAATATAAATACAAAATAAAACATCTTTTTAATTATTTCAGCATACATAAGAATTTTATATAATATTTCATAGATTCGGCATTTTGTCTTTTATTTTTTATTAATTAGATAATTTACTTAAATCATTTTGACAAAACTAATCTTTGTTAACTATAAAAGTAGAAAAGGGAAAAATACGCATTTATTGAAATAATATTTACAATAAAATAATTTTATAATTTATTTTTAATAATAATATATAAGATATCTGTTATATAAGATCATCGGCACTGGATTACAAATACCGTTACTATTAAAACACAAATTTGTTTTTAAATATAAATATTTACATTTATACAATAAATTATATACGCGTTATTTCACGACCTTTCCTTTTTCTTCTGCTTGATAGCTTCTATATTCTTCGTTAAAATATTTCTCTTTTGTACTTATTGTCAGTAGTGTACAATTTCTGATACAAATCAGATATCATGGCAACATCAAACTCAGAAAGTAATACTTGGGTTTTGGATTATTGCACGATAGAAAATAATAAGGTAAAATGCGATATTTGTTCCTGGAAACATAATCTTATTAAACAACAGTTAAACCAAATAAAAGCTCACATAACAAGTAAACATAAAAAGATTTATCGGAGTATTAGCTCATCATCAGTAATCAGCTTTAGATCATATGAATCGACGCAAGTTTATACAATAAAAAATTATGACGTCTACTGCAAATTTTGTGATGAAATCTATTTTGGAGAAAACAAAGCGTTCAGTAATATACAAACTCACATAACGAAAACTCATAAAGTTGAAATAAATACAGCAAAAGATATCTACAATTGGCTGCAACCACATTTTTACGAAAATAATATAAATGCAAAATCATGCTGTTGCTATTATTGCAATAATGACATTCCAAATAAACCAGTATTTTTAATGTTTCATTTGATACAAGTGCATGCGGCTAAAATACCTGAGGCGATCAGACCAACAAAGTAAGAATTTAATATTATTACTTTTCGTCTATTCACTTATTAATAAATAAATAAATAAAAATAAATTTATGTACAATACGTAGAATTGTGTATAACTAACAAAATAATAAAATATAGATATTTAACATATATTTATCTCGAGTAATATAATTATTCTAGTCTAGTATTATACAGTGAAGTACTGTATTTTAAAACTCCTATAATCAGTGATATGTGACAATTTGAATATAAGTAAAATTTTGAATAAATATAAAAACTGAATTATAAGACAAAGAGAACTTTTGTACTCGGATAGCATTTTTATATTATTAATTTATGGAAAATTCGAATTTGAGAGACGATCAAATACTAAAAGTGTTTTATTAATTATTGTGTTTAATAATTATATTTATTGTACAATTTATACACATGATTTAAACAAATCTTTATAATATTGATTAATTTAGCAATTTTTACTTTTTTTATTTTCTACTCTTTATTATACAGATTTTGGAATAGTATTGCAAATAACAAGAAATGGATGTGTAAATTTGTCACAACATATTTAATAACAGAAGGTGAGGAACGTACAAATTGCAATATTTGTGATAAACGTTTATCTATTAACGTAGATTACGAAAATATAACGACACACATATATGATAAACATAGAACAGTTCATGAAAAACGGATTTCAGTACAAGCAGTTTTACAAGAAAAGAATATTTTTTCTATAGAAAACTATCAAATAAAATGCAATAAATGTAAATATACTTGTCCTATTCGTTATATTGATCGAAACAATGAACTGGAAAATCATTTCTCGAATGAACATAAACTTGATTACGCTCAAATAAATAATTTTGTCAACTGGCTAAAATTGTATCGAAATGTAATTTATTTTCAAACATTAGAATGCAATGCTTGCAAGAACATTTTTAATGACAATTATTTTAGTTTAATGAGACATTTTATTGAAGAACATCCAATCAAATTTCTCTTACATCTAATATCAGAAAAGTAAGAAAAACATACTTTATTTTTTTATTTTATATTATCTTTTATAAAGCGCGTTTATAAATATTATAATTTAATAACTTTAAATAATTTTTATCTATAATGAGTAGAATTGTATGTAAGTAAAATTATAAAAACTAAAATATTTCATTTGTGTGTTTCTTAAATATATTAAAAACTAATGTTATATTAATATATATATATATATATATATATATATATATATATATATATAATAATACAGAAAAAAGAAACACTGATAAATTTGGTATATTATTATTTTAACGTTTATTTACATATATTTTTGTGAACGCAATTATAAATATATATTACAATAAGAATGATGTATAGAGTATATAAAAATGAATTAAAAAACAGAAATTTGTTATACATGTATTTATAATAAATAATATTATTTAATATCGAGGCAATTTAATATATAGCACATATCAATTAATATTATATCAAAATACAGTAAAAAAGTTTGATATATTAGTATTTTTATCTAATAAATAACGATGGTGGTAAAAAAATATGTTTAAATAATAGTGAAAGAATTTATTTGTTCGAACAGTATTCGCATATGTCGATCTTTTATTATGAGATGTTTCGATAATAAGAGTTTTTTCTTATTAATAATAATTTGTGCTTAATAATTATATATTATAACAATAATAAATTTATACATATATAATAATTATTTGTAAATCACCAATTTTTATTTTTTTCCGTACAGATTATTAGATAATTTACAAATTTTAAAGATATATAATGACGCCAAGGATATTGCTAAACCAGGAGGCAGCAATCAGCAGCCAAGTCAGAATATTAACCAAGTACTTCCAAAATCACATCACCAAGGTAAAAAAAACCAATAAAATCAGACTTACTATATTTCTTGTTTCATTTATTCGTCTATATACTTTATTTATGTACATGTATAAATACAATAGATATTACAAAGAGTAGAATTGTATATATATAAATTTGTTATTTACTGTATTTAATACTCCTGTAATTAATGACAATTTAGATAAGTATATAGATTGTGAATAAATAGGATATAAATAATCTGTTAGAAATGTTTGTGTTTGGACATTTCAATATAATTGCATATACTTTCAAATTTCATAATATAGATTAATTCAGAAATTTTTATCTTTGTGCGCAGGTTATCAGATATTTCAGAGTTTAAAAGTTCTGATAATGACATAGAAAACGTAGGTACATTAGCAATAAGCAGCTTTGAACAGCCAACTTCGAATATTGATCAAAGCTCTTCTAATAATACATCAACGAGGTAAAAGAAAGCAATACAATGATAATTACTATATTTCATTTTTTTAATTAATTAGCTATATTTTTATGTGTACGTATAAGTAGATATTACAATGAATAGATGTTTCATAAATAGAATCATAAAATTTCGTTAGTTAGCATATGTGTTTGCTACAAATATTTTAAATATTCGAATCAACATTACTTAGCCATATTCAAAAAATACGATTAATATAAATTTGTTACTTATTATATATTCTTATTATATTCAATATTCTTATAGTTAATAAATTATGATATTTTCGTTAAGTATAAAATTGTTATATAAATTAAAGAATTGGTCAGAAATTATTCGAATGGAATTTGTATGTCAAATATAATGAAAATTTGAAATTCGAGTTTACCGTGAAATATATTTATTAATAATAAAAGTGTTTTGTCAAGGCTCTTGCGTACTCGCCGCGGCTATGTTAGATTGTGATGTCAGATGCGAGAAAAGTTGAATGCTATTTGTAGATACAAAGTTATTTTGATGAAACAGAGAACTTCAGATGGCTTTAGCATACTTTTAAAATATTCCGAACACTGTCTTTTTATTTATAATAAATTAGCAGATGTAAAATGTGACAATAATATAATATGAAATTTGAGGTTTAATCTGTATATATATTCTCGCACGCATGCACAGCCATTTCGCAGGACGAAGTTTAATGTTTCAATTTTTATTTACGGTTATAGATTGACTGCGTTAAGGGAAAAATAGTTTATAAAGCATTTTAAAAGGATGATAATACCATTTAATGTTGTGCTTTATCAATATATCTTTTTGTCTATAAATGGCACGCAAAAATTTTAAAGTATATTTTTTGCCTCTGACGTTACAATCTAGCATAGCTGCGAGTACCAAAGAAAGCTATAATTACCACAATTTATATTTAATAAATATACATTGTACATACATATTATTTAAACAAGACATTATAATATTGATTAATTCAATAAATTTTATTTTTTATTCCGTGTAGATTATTAAATGATAAAGATTTAGATATTTCAAATGCTGATGATGATGCTGAAGATAATGCTACATCAAGCTGTCAGCAGCCAATTCAGAATGTTGATCAAATATTAACCAAAATTTCACTATCAAGGTAAAAGAAAATTACGATAAAATCTGTATTACTTTATAATCTCTTTTAAATTATTTATCTACATTTTTATATACATAAAAGTAATTATTAAAATAAGTAAAATTGGGTATTATTGAATTAAATCGTAAAATTTTTATAGTACATATAAGCTTATCACATTTTTATCGTAAATAATTTAAATATTCGGTACAAAAGTCGACTTTTTCGGACCGATTAATTTTTTTCGTCTATATTAATTTTAGGAAATTTTAGGAAATTTTAGGGAGTTTGTTAGGAGGAAAGAGGAACTTATAAATCTCGATTTGAGATAGTTCCTTATCTTGACAAATTTGATATATTGGCTCTTTAAGCAATAGATTCTCTATCCTTGTTATTTACAATAAGAGCGATCTAGCCACATTATTCCTTAAAAATTTACTTCAGTCATTTTGACAAGACTAATCATTGCTAACTTATTCAAAATTATAAATTGAAAACATTCGCATTTTATTGTAATTATATTTGCAATTCTATAATTTTTATATTCATTTTTCTAATCTATAGAATTATCGGCATTGGATTACAAAACTGTAACTGTTAAAACACACGTTAAAATACAAATATCTCTCTGATATTTACATTTATACAATAAATTATATGTATATACGAGTCTTTCACGACTTCTCATTGTTTTCTGTCTGATATCTTCTATATGCTTAGTTAAAATATTTTGTTTTTGTATTTATTGTTAGTAGTGCACGACAGATAATACAAAGTAGATATAACATAAACACGTCAAACTTAGAAGACAATTGGTTTCTGGATTATTATACAATAGAAAATAATACGGCAAGATGCGATATTTGTTACTGTGTAATGGAAATTACTATTAATATTCAAGTACAGGAAGAAAAAATGCATAATCACATATTGAATGAACATAAGAATCCGAACATTTATCGGAGGCGTATGACTTCGTCATCAGAAATCAGCTCAAAAGAATTGAAATTTTATACCATAAAAAATTATGACGTCGAATGCAACTTTTGTGATAAAATTTATCCTGGAAAAGACATAACGTTTTCTAATTTACGCACTCACATAACGATGTTTCATGCATTTGAAACGAATAAAGCAGAAAAAATCTGCAATTGGCTGCGCAAAAATTTTGATATGGATGAGGAACGTTGTCGCTGCAACCACTGCGAACTTGAAATTCCAAATAAACCAGTATTTTTATTAATCCATTTGAATCAAATGCATGAGTTTGAACTACCTCTGGATATCACACCAAGATTGTAAGAATTTAATATATTATCACTTTTCTTTTAATGAATTATTAATAAATAATTTTTTGAATCCAATTAATAAAACTGTATCAAACTAACAAAAACATAAAATATAAATATTTAACATACATTTATCATAAATAATGTAAATATTCGAGTCTAGTACTGTTGAGTACTGTAGGTATATATTTTAAAACTCCTATAATCAGTAATGTGACAATTTAAATATAATTATATATTTTGACAATAAATTTGTTGATCGCCAATAATAAATTTTAACAAATAATACGATGCAATTTAATTCGATAATACCAAAAACTGGCTATTTATTTATTGAAAATACACGTACACACCACGTTATCAGTAGCTAACAGACTGTCAATATGACAGAACAACTTTCATGTTTCAATTTTTATTAATGTAATTGCTGAATAAGAACAACACTTGAGAAGAACCACAATGTGGGTCGAAACGTAATGTGTACTTATTTTCAATAAATGAATAGCCAGTTTTTGGTCGAATTAAATTGCATCTTATTATTTATATATTTTCAATAAGTATGAAAAGTAAGTTAAAAAAAATAGAGGATTTTTGTATTTTAATAATATTTTCATGTTGATAATTTATAAAATATTAAATTTACATTTGGAGAGATGTTTGAATAATAAAAGTGTTTTATTAATAATAAAACAGTTTGTATTTAACAATTATATATTGTATAAATTGTAGACATATTTTAAACAAAACTTTATAATATTTGATTAATTCAACCATTTTTATTCTTTACTTTTTATTATACAGGTTATGGAATTTTACTACAAAATTCAAAAACGAATGGCTATCGTATTATTATTATATTACGAAAGATTTAGTTACAGAAGATGAGAAAAATATAAAATGCAATATTTGTGATACATGTTTTACTGTTAGCATATATCACATAAAGATAATACTGCACATAAATTATGAACATAGAAAAACATCTGAAAAATTTATTTCTACAGAAGACGCACAGATAAGAAAGCTATTTTCTGTTGAAGACAATCAATTGAAATGCAATTTTAATAAATGTAATTATTCTTGTCCTATTCATTTTAATGGTCTACAAGAGGAACCGAAACATCATTTACTCAACAATCATAAACTTAATCGCGCTCAAACCAATGATCTTTACAACTGGCTATTGTTGTATCAACATGTATTACATATTGAAACATCAAAATGCATAATTTGCAAGGACATATTTCAACATAAGTTGTTTAGTTTAATGACTATGAAGCATTTTATAAAAGAACATCGAATCGAATATCTGTTTCATCTAATATCAAAGAAGTAAGAAAAATGTACTTTATTGCTTTAATATAATTTTATCTCTTTTAAGTTATTTATAAATAATATACTTTAATCTAAAGAATTTATAAACTCATTTAGAGAATTTGCATTTAATTATTTATTTCGATAGGAGGGTCAAGGGGTTTTTGATATGAAATCTCAAGTAAGAGATTATTTCAATTTTCAAAGTCTTGGTTAGTACACCAAGAGTAATATGTGCCTTGTGCACGATTTGTTTCCATAGCAACATCCGCGTTTAGCTCTTCACGCCTTCTTACGATTTAGATTTTTATTTAGAGAATTTATAAAATTATTGATAAATATAATTTTATAATTATTAATAATCTTTACGTACAACGAGAATTGTATGTAATTAAAATCGTAAAAATTAATATATTTAGCATGTGTTTATCACAAGTATGGAAAATATTCGAGTCAGGTTAACTAATATTATATATTATATTAAAATATCATAATACAAATAGAAACCGCTAAGTTCAGTATATTACTATTTAATCTTTTATTTACATATATCTTTGTGAATATAATAATAAATATATATTATAATAGGAATATATATTATAATAGGAATGACGTATAAATGCATGAATTAAAGTATAAAATTTAGATATTTAACATGTATTTATCATAAATATCATCAATATTCGAATCAGTTTAATTGAATCATATCATTTATTATTATATCAGAATATAGTGATATAAATTTGTTAAATTTACATCGATAAGTTGTTAGTGACAATTTGGATAAATATATTAGTTTTAGTAATAATAAGCAAGTATTCAATGAGAATCTTAAATAATCGTGAAAACATTTTTTGTGTTTGAATTGTATATTCAAGTATTTATGTCGAATTTATGAGACGTTAAAATAATAAATGTGTTTTATTACAAATAATAATTGATGCTTAATACATGTAATATAATACATTTTACGCATATATTATTCACATTGAAGTCTTCATAATTAAAATAACTTTACAATATATTTATTTATTTAACAATTTGTATTTCTTATTCCGCACAGATTATTAGATAAATTGGAGATTTTAAATTCTGATAACAATACCGATAATGTTGCTTTACCAGGAAGCAGCAGTCAGCAGCCAGTTCAATGTATTGAAGAAAGTTCTTCCAAAGATTCATCAACAAGGTAAGACAAAAAACAATAAAATCAGAATTACTATATTTCATCTTATTTAACTTATTAACAGTTGCGAGTACCAGAAGAAGCCCCATAATAACAATATATATTTAATAATTATTCATTGTACATACACAATATTTAAACAAGACATTATAATATTGATTAATTCAGTAAATGTTATTTTTTATTCTGTGTAGATTATTAAATGATAAAGATTTAGATGTTTCAAATGTTGATGATGATGCTGAAGATAATGCTACATCAAGCTGTCAGCAGCCAATTCAGAATGTTGATCAAAATTTAACCAAAATTTCACTAACGAGGTAAAAGGAAATTACGATAAAATCTGTATTACTTTATAATCTCTTTTAAATCATTTATCTACATTTTTATATACATAAAAGTAATTATTAAAATAAATAGAATTGGGTATAATTGAATTAAATCGTAAAATTGATTTAGTATATATAGGCTTATCATATTTTTATCGTAAATAATTTAAATATTCGGGACAAAACGTAATTTTTGTTAGCTAATGTTATATCAAAATACGATAATAAAAACTTGTTAATCATATGTTCAATATTCTCATAATCGATAAGTTTTGACAATTTATTAGATAAGTGTAAATTGTGAATCATATAAATTTAATAATTTTACAAGAATGTTTGTACTTGAAAAAGAATATATATATCGAATTTATGAGAATATTGAATTCAAGTTTTCTGTTAGAGATATTTTAATAATAATAAAATAAGAGATGTTTTAATAAAAGTGTTTTATTATTAAATAACAGTTTATATTAAATATATATATATATATATATATATATATATATATATATCATTTTGTTTAATTTAACCGAATACAATTATGCGCGCAAAACGAAGTTATATCATTTTTTGATAATAAAATCTTAAAAATTTACTTTAGTCATTTTGACAGGACTAATCTTTGCTAACTTATTCAAAATTATAAATTGAAAACATTCGCATTTTATTGTAAATTAATTCGTGATTGTATAATTTTTATATTCATTTTTCTAATCTGTAGAATTATCGGCATTGGATTACAAAACTGTAACTGTTAAAACACACGTTAAAATACAAATTTGTCTCTGATATTTACATTTATACAATAAATTATATGTATATACGAGTCTTTCACGACCTCTCATTTATTTTCTGTCTGATATCTTCTATATGCTTAGTTAAAATATTTTGTTTTTGTAATTATTGTTAGTAGTGCACGACAGATAATACAAAGTAGATATAACATAGACACGCCAAACTTAGAAGACAATTGGTTTCTGGATTATTATACAATAGAAAATAATACGGCAAGATGCGATATTTGTTACTGTGTAATGGAAATTACTATTAATATTCAAGTACAGGAAGAAAAAATGCATAGTCACATATTGAATGAACATAAGAATCCGAACATTTATCGGAGGCGTATGACTTCGTCATCAGAAATCAGCTCAAAAGAATTGAAATTTTATACCATAAAAAATTATGACGTCGAATGCAACTTTTGTGATAAAATTTATCCTGGAAAAAACATAACGTTTTCTAATTTACGCACTCACATAACGATGTTTCATGCATTTGAAACGAATAAAGCAGAAAAAATCTGCAATTGGCTGTGCAAAAATTTTGATATGGATGAGGAACGTTGTCGCTGCAACCATTGCAAACTTGAAATTCCAAATAAACCAGTATTTTTATTAATCCATTTGAATCAAATGCATGAGTTTGAACTACCTCTGGATATCATACCACGATTGTAAGAATTTAATATATTATCACTTTTAACGTATAAGACGGGCAACAAGAGCCAAATCGCGGATGACAATGCGTTATCCTAACGAAACTAAATAATTTTCCGTTAGAATTAAATACCGGTGCACAAGGCACCAAATTTTACTTGGACACGGCCAAGATTTTAAATATGAAATAATCTCATATTTGAGATTTAATTTTAATACCCCCTTTAACCCCCCTACGGAAAATAAATAAATGAATGCAAGAGAAAAATATAGATCCGAAAATCGCTGAATCGGGATTTTCGGATCTATATTTTTCTCTTGCATTCATTTATTTATTTTCCGTAGGGGGGTTAAAGGGGGTATTGAAATTAAATCTCAAATATGAGATTATTTCATATTTAAAATCTTGGCCGTGTCCAAGTAAAATTTGGTGCCTTGTGCACCGGTATTTAATACTAACGGAAAATTATTTAGTTTCGTTAGGATAACGCATTGTCATCCGCGATTTGACTCTTGTTGCCCGTCTTATACGTTAAATTTATATTTATATTACAGAGCCTTGTTAAAACTCTTATATTATCACTTTTCTTTTAATGAATTATTAATAAATAATTTTTTGAATCCAATTAATAAAACTGTATCAAACTAACAAAAACATAAAATATAAATATTTAACATACATTTATCATAAATAATGTAAATATTCGAGTCTAGTACTGTTGAGTACTGTAGGTATATATTTAAAAACTCCTATAATCAGTAATGTGACAATTTAAATATAATTATATATTTTGACAATAAATTTGTTGATCGCCAATGATAAATTTTAACAAATAATAAGATGCAATTTAATTGGACCAAAAACTGGCTATTCATTTATTGAAAATACGTACACACTACGATATCAGTAGTTAACAGATTGTCGATATGACAGGACAACTTTCATGTTTCTATTTTTAATTAATGTAATTGCTGAATAAGAACAACACTTGAGAAGAACCACAATGTGGGTCGAAACGTAATGTGTACTTATTTTCAATAAATGAATAGTCAGTTTTTGGTTGAATTAAATTGCATCTTATTATTTATATATTTTCAATAAGTATGAAAAGTAAATTAAAAGAAATAAAGAATTATTGTAATTTAATAATATTTTCATGTTGATAATTTATAAAATATTAAATTTACATTTTGAGAGATGTTTGAATAATAAAAGTGTTTTATTAATAATAAAACAGTTTGTATTTAACAATTATATATTGTATAAAATGTAGACATATGTCAAACAAAACTTAATAATATTTGATTAATTCAACCATTTTTATTCTTTACTCTTTATTATACAGGTTATGGAATTTTACTACAAAATTCGAAAACGAATGGCTATCGTATTATTATTATTTTACAAAAGATTTAGTTACAGAAGATGAGAAAAATATAAAATGCAATATTTGTGGTACATGTTTTACTGTTAGCATATATCACATAAAGATAATACTGCACATAAATTATGAACATAGAAAAACGTCTGAAAAATTTATTTCTACAGAAGACGCACAAATAAGAAAGTTATTTTCTGTTGAAGACAATCAATTGAAATGCAATTTTAATAAATGTAATTATTCTTGTCCTATTCATTTTAATGGTCTACAAGAGGAACCGAAACATCATTTACTTAACAATCATAAACTTAATCGCGCTCAAACCAATGATCTTTACAACTGGCTATTGTTGTATCAACATGTATTACATATTGAAACATCAAAATGCATAATTTGCAAGTACATATTTCAACATAAGTTGTTTAGTTTAATGACTATGAAGCATTTTATAAAAGAACATCGAATCGAATATCTGTTTCATCTAATATCAAAGAAGTAAGAAAAATGTACTTTATTGCTTTAATATAATTTTATCTCTTTTAAGTTATTTATAAATAATATACTTTAATCTAAAGAATTTATATAAACTTATTTAGAGAATTTGCATTTAATTATTTATTTCGATAGGAGGGTCAAGGGGTTTTTGAAATGAAATCTCAAGTAAGAGATTATTTCAATTTTCAAAGTCTTGGTTAGTACACCAAGAGTAATAGGTATGTGCCTTGTGCACGATTTGTTTCCATAGCGTTTAGCTCTTCACGTCTTCTTAAGATTTAGATTTTTATTTAGAGAATTTATAAAATTATTTATAAATATAATTTTATAATTATTAATAATCTTTACGTACAACGAGAATTGTATGTAATTAAAATCGTAAAAATTAATATATTTAGCATGTGTTTATCACAAGTATGGAAAATGTTCGAGTCAGCTTAACTAATATTATATATTATATTAAAATATAATAATACAAATAGAAACCGCTAAGTTCAGTATATTACTATTTAATCTTTTATTTACATATATCTTTGTGAATATAATAATAAATATATATTATAATAGGAATGACGTATAAAAGCATGAATTAAAGTATAAAATTTAGATATTTAACATGTATTTATCATAAATATCATCAATATTTGAATCAATTTAATTGAATCATATCATTTATTATTATATCAGAATATAGTGATATAAATTTATTATATTTACATCGATAAGTTGTTAGTGACAACTGGGATAAATATATTAATTTTAGTAATAATAAACAAGTATTCAATGAATCTTAAATAATCGTGAAAACATTTTTTTGTGTTTGAATTATATATTCAAGTATTTATGTCGAATTTATGAGACGTTAAAATAATAAATGTGTTTTATTACAAATAATAATTGATGCTTAATACATGTAATATAATACATTTTACGCATATATTATTCACATTGAAGTCTTTATAATTAAAATAACTTTACAATATATTTATTTATTTAGCAATTTGTATTTCTTATTCCGCACAGATTTTTAGATAAATTGGAGATTTTAAATTTTGATAACAATACCGATGATGTTGCTTTACCAGGAAGCAGCAGTCAGCAGCCAGTTCAATGTATTGAAGAAAGTTCTTCCAAAGATTCATCAACAAGGTAAAACAAAAAGCAATAAAATTACAATTACTATATTTCATCTTATTTAACTTATTAACAGTTGCGAGTACCAGAAGAAGCCATAATAACAATATATATTTAATAATTATTCATTGTACATACACAATATTTAAACAAGACATTATAATATTGATTAATTCAGTAAATGTTATTTTTTATTCTGTGTAGATTATTAAATGATAAAGATTTAGATGTTTCAAATGCTGATGATGATGCTGAAGATAATGCTACATCAAGCTGTCAGCAACCAGTACAGAATATTGATCAATATTTATCCATAATTTCACTAACGATTAAAGGTAAAAGGAAATTACAATAAAATCTGTATTACTTTATAATTTTTTTTCAATAATTTATCTATATTTTTATATACATAAAAGTAAATATTGAAATATATAGAATTGTGTATAATTGAATGAAATCATAAAATTTAAATATATTTATTATATGTTTATTGTCAATAATTTAAATATTTCAGACAAAACAATTTTTGGTAGCCAAAATTATATCAAAATACGGCAATACAAATTCGTTACTTATACTATGTTCAATATTCGTGTAATTGATTAGTTGTGACAATTTAGATAAATGTAAATTGTAGAAAATTATATAAATTATATAATTCAGTTGAAATGTTAATACTTGAAAAAATATTTATATATCGAATTTATGAGAATATTGAATTCAAGTTTTCTGTGGAAGATGTTTTAATAAAAGTGCTTTGTTATTAAATAACAGTTTATATTTAAATAATTATACATTGTGCGCATTATTCAATCAAGACATGTATAATTTTGGTTAATTTAACAAATTTAATTTTATTCTGTGCAGATTAAGTTGAGATAACAAGTTTTTGAATAAAGACCTAATCACCAACAGTGATGGCCAAATTATTTTCCTTAAAGAGTTTGAAATGTTAATTAAAATTAAGATGCTTGCTACTACGGACATAATAAAATATGAAATTAAAAAATAATTAAATGTGTATTAAATTTGTGTATTTTTATGAAATTAAATGTGTATTAAATTAAAACGATTGATATAGATGTGTATTAAATATTGTGTATTTTTTATGTAATTAAATGTGTATTAAATTAAAACGAATGAATTTGACGAGGTTCGGTCGAAAGTTTTATTTTCAAGATAAAATTCTGAATTTTCTGTGAAATATGCGTGTTGGTTCTAACTTCTATTTTTGAGAAAGCGTACGAATATTTTATACATAAATAGATTCTTCGTGTACATAATAGAAATTCGACAAATCAAAATTATGTACATATTCTAAAATCAAGAATTATAATTATGCACATAATCTACATACAGCGAAAAAAAATTTCATGATATGGAAGTTCGGCGAATCAAAATTAGGAATTATAATATAGAAATTATTCTATAAACTGTCATATAGAAATTCGACGAATTAAAATTATCAACATAATAGATATTCGCCGAATTTCCGAGTTTCTTTGACGGAGTACGTTTGTCGGAGTACATTTTTGTGGAAGTACAATTTTCTTATAAATACTTTTATGTAGCATATATATATACATATACGTATCATTTCGTTTAATCTAACCATATATAATTACGCATGCAAAACGAAATTATATTATTCTTTGATAATAAAATATCAAAAATTGCGACGCATGCATACAAAAATTATTATTGCAATCAATGCCTAAAAAGTATACTAATTTATTATGCAACGAATAAAAATTTAATATTTAAATCTTTTACAGAAAATACGAACGAAGAAATAAAATTTTGTACAAGAATCTTTTCTGATTAAATATCTACACTTTTATTAGACTCGCGCGAAACACCATGCCCCATACTCCGTAACGCTGCGCGGCTCGCGCAAGACTGATTCGCGAGCGCAAGCCCGATGGACACGTGATCAGTGGTAAAAAAGGAATCATAATAACAACAATTTTTATTTTTAATAATTATACATTATACATACACATTATTCAAACTAGACATTTTTATACTGATTTATTCAGTAAATTTTATTATTTTATTCTGCATAGATCATTAAATGATAAAATTTATCAAATATGTAAGCTTATTATATGTTTATCGTAAACAATTTAAATATTCGGGACAAAACATAATTTTTGTTGGCTAATATTGTATTAAAATACAGTAATAAAAATCTGTTAATTTTACTATGTTCAATATTCTTATAATAGATAAGTGTGAATTGGATAATAATATTGCATGGTCCACCGATAAACGGTTTCAGGAAGAAAATATACGGACAATTAAAAAAATTTTACAAAACAATTGTTTCCCCATTGACATAATTAATCGGTATATATAACAATATTAATTTCTTGAATTATAATAAAAATTTTATAAATAGTGATAAAAATTTATATACATCGCAGGTGAAAGCACTTTCTATTTCATAAATATTTTAACGAAGAATATAGCTTGATATTAGACAGAAAAAAATGAAAGGTCGTAAAAAAACGCGTATATAATTTATTGTAAAAATGTAAATATTTATAGTATATACGGAGACTGAATGCAATGCTGATAATCCAAAAGAGATTATAAAAATAAGTTAAAGAATTATATAATCACAAATATTACAATAAATGCGAATGTTTCCAATTTCTACTTTCTAAGTTAGCAAAAATTATTTCTGTCTATACAAATAAAGTATATGATCAAATTAGTCAAAAATAAAGAACAAAATGCAAAATCTATCAAAAATTATAATAAATTTCTATATATGTTGGCATAATTAAAAAGATATATACTATATATGATAAATTAAAAAATTGTATTAATGTATGTATATATCTATATATTATCGTATATGTTTAATAATGCTATACATATATTTTTTATTTAGAATATATTGCAATAATTTTATATTATTTGTAACATATAGTATATGTATCGATCATCAACAAATTAGAAACGCAAAAACCTCTAATATTAAAATATAATGAAAAATTTTCTCCGTGTATATAATTTTTATTCAACATACAGTACCCTCTATAAATTTGGAAACACCTTACATTATACAGTTAAACAATCGTATGGTAGCGATCTGTGTAGATTTTTTGTACTAATAAATCGTAAAATATTTGAATAACACTTTTATTTATGACAGATCGCTGCCATGCGATTGTTCAACTGTAAAATGTAAAGTGTATCCAAACTTGTGAAAGGTACTGTATGCAATAAATAACAAATGTCCATTTATAAGACTGTTTTCTGTTATCACGATTAATAATATTTTAAATAATATATTGATAAATAACATTCCATTAAGTTTATATTCTTGCATGTTACGAATATCTAATTAAAGATATTTCTTTAGAGAACTTTTCCCTTAAATTAAGAGGATCTTTTTGACAGATCTGTGCAGATTTTTTGTATAAATAAATCATAAAATAAACATAAAATACTTAAATAATATTTTTATTTATAACAGATCGCTGCCATGCAATTCTTTAACTGTAAAATGTTAAGTGTTTCTAAATTTATGGAGGGTACTGTATAATATATAATTTTACAATTTACTTGAACTATTTTTCTCTTTTGAGTATAAAATCCATAAAATATGTCTGAAAACTTTCAAGAATTATTAACGCAGGATTAAGAAGAATAATATATATAATATTCTTCATACCATCAAATAATAAGGTTACTAAAAATGTGTAAAATTTATAGTAAAATTTAAAATTTAACGAAAAATATTTTTTTTGTATATATGTTTTAACCCAAAATTTAAAATAAGAATTATATACACATATTTTCTGTCATATACTAGATGTCCCAGTTGTACAGGATCACTCATTAATGAGATTCTTAAGGTTATTTAGAGACGATTTTTCCTCCCCAAAAAAGAAGGTGATTTTTTGTGCTGGCTCCTAATTTTTGTTACCATATATTTTTGTGATTAAGTTTTAAATTAAAATTTTGGTATATTAAATTAAATTTAAAATTAACTGAAATATGTCATTGTGTTGATAATTTATTTCCACAAGGCTTATTAGTTTGCGAAAAACCTTTCATTTTCAATCGCTTATAACTAAAAAATTATTGGTATCTCGACATTTAATCCATAATTTACCATAACGGGTAAGTCTGGGACACCCTGTATATATATATATATATATATACCATTTATTTGGTGTGGGTTGGTCAGCGAGTTTCGTCTCAAATTCAAGAACGATTGATCGCGAAACAAAAACGCAAAGAGACGAAACTTGCAACATGAACAAGCTGGTTTTTCAATATTAACTCATAAAGCTTTTTTACATAGATTACAATTTTTCACATAAATAATTTTTAAAAATTCGAGAATTTACATTAAAAAAATTAGAATTCAAAATTTTGTAAAAAATAAATCCTTTCACCGATTCTTATTTAAATTCAATACCAATCATCTTTTAATAGTACCTACTCTATTTATGTAAAAAAATTTAGTTTAATATTTCAAAATTTACAAAAGTTAGAGCAATTACAGATATTCTTTGAAAAATTGAAGGTACATATTAAAATCTAAAACACTGTACAAATTTTTATAAAAGTGATGATAAATAAAAATCGTACTACTTTACTTATATCCTAAATAAGCGCTGTAGCTCAAACAATTCTTAAATAATGAATGTTTGATTTTTTGGAAAAGTAGTTTACATACATGCATGCATTCAAAATATAATTTAATTGAACTGCCCAGGGAACATATTTAACATCTTAATAGCTTAATATCATCGAGCTGTAGGCAATTTTGAAAAAGCGGGTTTCCTCCTTCAGCATCTTTAAAGCAATTGGCAGAAAAATAAGACAATATTCCTCTAAAAAAAAGCAAATGATGGCCCAACATCTTGTTAATAAACAAATATAAATATTTTTTTACAGGTGTTCACATTATTTTGTCTAGCCCCTGTAAATAATAAGCAAATATAATAAAATATATAAATAAATACAAAATAAAACATCTTTTTAATTATTCCAGCATACATAAAAATTTTATATAATATTTCATAGATTCGGCATTTTGTCTTTTATTTTTTATTAATTAGATAATTTACTTTAATCATTTTGACAAAACTAATCTTTGTTAACTATAAAAGTAGAAAAAGAAAAAATTTGCATTTATTAAAATAATATTTGCGATAAAATAATAATTATAATATATTTTTAATAATAATATAAGATATCTATTATATAAGATCATCGGCACTGGATTACAAAATCCGTAACTATTGAAACACAAATTTGTTTCTGAATATAAATATTTACATTTATACAATAAATTATATACGCGTTTTTTCACGACCTTTCTTTTTTCATCTGCTTGATAGCTTCTATATTCTTCGTTAAAATATTTCTCTTTTGTACTTACTGTCAGTAATGTACAATTTCTAATACAGAGCAGATATCATGGACACGTCAAGCTTAGAAGATAGTAATTGGTTTCTGAATTTTTGCACAATAGAAAATAATATGGCAATGTGCGATATTTGTTCCTGGAAACGTAATCTTATTGACGAACAGTTAGACCAAATAAAATCTCACATAACAAGTAAACATAAAAAGATTTATCGGAGTATTAGCTCATCATCAGTAATCAGCTTTAGATCATATGAATCGACGCAAGTTTATGCAATAAAAAATAATGACGTTTACTGCAATTTTTGAGAACAAATTTATTTTGGAGAAAACAAAACGTTCCGTTATATACAAAAGCACATAACGGATATTCATATAGATGGAATAAATAAAGCAAAAGAAATCTGCAATTGGCTACAAAAACATTTTGGCAAAAACATTGTGAATGCAAAATCATGCTGCTGCAATCATTGCAATAATGACATTCCCAATAAATTAGTATTTTTAATAATTCATTTGGAACAAGTGCATGATGAGATTAAAATACCTGAGGAGATCAGACCAACAGGGTAAGAATTTAATATTATTACTTTTCGTCTATTCAATTATTAATAAATAAATAAATAAAAATAAATTTATGTACAATACGTAGAATTGTGTGTAACTAATAAAATAATAAAATATAAACATTTAACATATATTTATCTCGAGTAATATAATTATTCTAGTCTAGTCCTATACAGTGGAGAACTGTATTTTAAAACTTCTATAATCAGTGATAAGTGATAATTTAAATATAAGTAAAATTTTGAATAAATATAAAAAGTGAATTATAAGAAAAAGAGAACTTTTGTACTCGAATAGCATTTATATATTTTTAATTTATGGAAATATCAAATCCGAATTTTGAGAGACGATCGAGTACTAAAAATATTTTATTAATGATAACAGATTATGTTTAATAATTATATTCACTGTACAATTTATACACATGATTTAAACAAACTTTATATAATATTGATTAATTCAGCATTTTTTATACTTTTTTTATTTTTTACTTTTTATTATACAGATTATGGGAGTCTACTGCAAATCGCAAAGAATGGATGTGGAAATTTGTTACAAAATACTTATTAACAAAAGGAGAGGAACGTGCAAATTGCAATATTTGTGGTAAACGTTTATCTATTAACGTAGATTACGCAACTATAAGACACCACATATATGATATACATAGAACAGATCATGGAAAACGGTTTTCATTACAAGTTTTACAAGAAAACAATTTTTTTCTATAAAAAACGATCAAGCAAAATGCAATAAATGTCCACATATTAGTTCTATTCGTTGTATTGATCAGAACAAGGAACTACAAAATCATTTTTCGAATGAACATAAACTTGATTACGCCCAAATAAATGATTTTGTCAACTGGCTAAAATTGTATCAAAATGTAATTTATTTTCAAACATTAGAATGCAATGCTTGCAAGAACATTTCTAATGACAATTATTTTAGTTTAATGAGACATTTTATTGAAGAACATTCAATCAAATTTCTCTTACATCTAATATCAGAAAAGTAAGAAAAACATACTTTATTTTTTTATTTTATATTATCTTTTATAAAGCGCGTTTATAAATATTATAATTTAATAACTCTAAATAATTTTTATCTATAATGAGTAGAATTGTATGTAAGTGAAGTTATAGAAACTATAATATTTTAATGTGTTTATTAAATATATTAAAAACTAATGTTATATTAATATATATATATATATATATATATATATATATATATATACATATATATATATAATACAGAAAGAAGAAACACTGATAAATTTGGTATATTATTATTTTAACGTTTATTTACATATATTTTTGTAAACGCAATTATAAATATATATTGCAATAAGAATGATGTATGGAGTATATAAGAATGAATTAAAAAACAGAAATTTGATATACATGTATTTATCATAAATAATATTATTCATATTCGAGTCAATTTAATATATAGCACATATCAATTAATATTATATCAAAATACAGTAAAAAAGTTTATTATATTTAATATTTTTATCTAATAAATAACCATGGTGGTGAATAAATATGTTTAAATAATAGTGAAAGAATTTATTTGTGCGAACAGTATTCGCATATGTCGATTTTTTATTATGAGATGTTTCGATAATAAGTTTTTTCTTATTAATAATGATTTGTGCTTATTAATTATATATTATAACAATAATAAATTTATACATATATAATAATTATTTGTAAATCATCAATTTCTATATTTTTCCGTACAGATTATTAGATAATTTACAAATTTTAAAGATATTTAATGATGCCAAGAATATTGCTAAACCAGGAGGCAGCAATCAGCAGCCAGGTCAGAATATTAACCAAAGTACTTCCAAAATCACATCACCAAGGTAAAAAAAATCAATAAAATCAGACTTACTATATTTCTTGTTTCATTTATTTGTCTATATACTTTATTGATGTACATGTATAAGTACAATAGATATTACAAAGAGTAGAATTGTATATATATAAATTTGTTATTTACTATATTTAATATTCCTGTAATTTATGACAATTAAGATATAAGTATATAGATAGTGAATAAATAGGAATTAAATAATCTGTTAAAAATGTTTGTGTTTGGACATTTTAATATAATTGCATATACTTTCAAATTTCATAATATAGATTAATTCAGAAGTTTTTATTTTTGTGCGCAGGTTATCAGATATTTCAGAGTTTAAAAGTTCTGATAATGACATAGAAAATGTAGGTACATCAGCAATAAGTAGCTATGAACAGCCAATTCCGAATATTGATCAAAGCTTCTCCAATAACACATCAACAAGGTAAAAGAAAGCAATACAATGATAATTACTATATTTCATCTTTTTAATTATTCATCTATATTTTTATGTATACGTATAAGTAGATATTACACTGAATAGAATTGTGTTTCATAAATAAAATCATAAAATTTTGTTAGTTAGCATATGTGTTTGCCACAAGTATTTTAAATATTCGAATCAACATTACTTAGCCATGTTCAAAAAATACGATTAATATAAATTTGTTACTTATTATATATTCTTATTATATTTAATATTCTTATAATTAATAAATTATGATATTTTCGTTAAGTATAAAATTGTTATTCGAATTAAAGAATTGGTCAGAAATTATTCGAATGGAATTTGTATGTTGAATATAATAAAATTTGAAATTCGATTTTACCGTGAAATATATTTATTAATAATAAAAGTGTTTTGTTAAGGCTCCTGCGTACTCGCCGCGGCTATGTTAGATTGTGATGTCAGATGCGAGAAAATTTGAATGCTATTTGTAAATAAAAAGTTATTTTAATGAAACAGAAAATTTCAGATAGCTTTAGTATACTTTTAAAATATTTTGAACACTGTCCTTTTTTTATAATTAATTTGCAGTTGTAAAATGTGACAATAATATAATATGAAATTTGAGGTTTAATCTGTACTCGTATTAATTCTTGCACGCATGCACAGCTATTTCGCAGGACAAAGTCTTATGTTTCAATTTTTATTTACGGTTAAAGATTGACTGCGCCAAAGGAAAAAATAGTTTGCGAAGCATTTTAAAAAAGATAATACCATCTAATGTTGTGCCTTATCAAAATATCTTTCTGTCTATAAATGGCACGCAAATATTTTGAAGTATATGTTTTGCCTCTGACGTTACAATCTAACATAGTTGCGAGTATAAAAAAAGCCATAATTACCACAATTCATATTTAATAATTATACATTGTACATACACATTAATTAAACAAAACATTATTATATTGATTAATTTAGTAAATTTTATTTTTTATTCCGTGTAGATTAATAAATAATAAAGATTTAGATATTTCAAATGCTGATGATGATGCTGAAGATAATGCTACATCAAGCTGTCAGCAGCCAGTTCAGAATGTTGATCAAAATTTATCCAAAATTTCACTAACGAGGTAAAAGGAAATTACGATAAAATCTGTATTACTTTATAATTTCATTTAAATCATTTATCTACATTTTTATATACATAAAAGTAATTATTAAAATACGTAGAATTGAATATAATTGAATTGAGTCGTAAAATTTATTTAGTATGTAGGCTTATCATATTTTTATCGTAAATAATTTAAATATTTGGGACAAAACGTAATTTATGTTAGCTATTGTTATATCAAAATACGATAATAAAAATTTATTAATCATATGTTCAATTTTCTTATAATCAATAAGTTTTGACAATTTATTAAATAAATGTAAATTGTGAATCATATAAATTTAATAAATCTACAGGAATATTTGTACTTGAAAAAAAAAAAAAAAAATATATATATATATCAAATTTATAAGAATATTGAATTCAAGTTTTCTGTTAGAGATATTTTAATAATAATAAAGTGAGAGATGTTTTAATAAAAGTGTTTTATTATTAATTAACAGTTTATATTAAATAAATATATATATATATATTTATATATATATATATATATATATATATCATTTTGTTTAATCTAACCGAATACAATTATGCGCGCAAAGCAAAGTTATATTATTCTTTGATAATAAAATCTTAAAAATTTACTTTAGTCATTTTGACAAGACTAATCTTTGCTAACTTATTTAAAATTAAAAATTGAAAACATTCGCATTTTATTGTAAATTAATTCGTGATTGTATAATTTTTATATTCATTTTTCTAATCTATAGAATTATCGGCATTGGATTACAAAACTGTAACTGTTAAAACACACGTTAAAATACAAATATCTCTCTGATATTTACATTTATACAATAAATTATATGTATATACGAGTCTTTCACGACTTCTCATTTTTTTCTGTCTGATATCTTCTATATGCTTAGTTAAAATATTTTCTTTTTGTATTTATTGTTAGTAGTGCACGACAGATAATACAAAGTAGATATATCATGGACACGTCAAGCTTAGAAGATAGTAATTGGTTTCTGAATTTTTGCACAATAGAAAATAATATGGCAATGTGCGATATTTGTTCCTGGAAACATAATCTTATTGACGACCAGATAGAGCTAATAAAATCTCACTTGATACGCAAACATAAGGAATCTTATTTGACTATTATCAATTCATCAGAAATCAACTTTAGATCATATGAATCGACGCAAGTTTATGCAATAAAAAATAATGACGTTTACTGCAATTTTTGTGAACAAATTTATTTTGGAGAAAACAAAACGTTCCATTATATACAAAAGCACATAACGGATATTCATATAGATGGAATAAATAAAGCAAAAGAAATCTGCAATTGGCTACAAAAACATTTTGGCAAAAATATTGTGGATGCAAAATCATGCTGCTGCAATCATTGCAATAATGACATTCCCAATAAACCAGTATTTTTAATTTTTCATTTGGAACAAGTGCATGATGAGATTAAAATACCTGAGAAGATCAGACCAACAAAGTAAGAATTTAATGTTATTACTTTTTGTTTATTAAATTATTAATAAATAAATAAATAAAAATTAATTTATGTACAATACGTAGAATTGTGTGTAAATAATAAAATCATAAAATATAAATATTTGACATATATTTATCATAAGTGATATAAAGATTCAAGTCTAACACTATACTGTCGAGTACTGTATTTTAAAACTTTTATAATTAGTGATATGTGACAATTTGAATATAAGTAAAATACTAAATAAATATAAAAAGTGAATTATAAGAAAAAGAGAACTTTTGTACTCGAATAGCATTTTTATATTGTTAATTTATGGAAATATCAAATTCGAATTTTGAGAGACGATCAAATACTAAAAGTGTTTTATTAATGATTGTGTTTCATAATTATATTTACTGTACAATTTATACACACGATTTAAACAAACTTTATATGATATTGATTAATTCAGCATTTTTTATACTTTTTTTATTTTTTACTTTTTATTATACAGATTATGGGAGTATACTGCAGATCGCAAAGAATGGATGTGGAAATTTGTCACAAAATATTTATTAACACAAAATGAGGAACATGCAAATTGCAATATTTGTGATAAACGTTTATCTATTACCGTAGATTACGCAACTATAAATCGCCACATATATAATAAACATAAAACAGATTATGGAAAACGGATTTCATTACAAGTTTTACAAGAAAAGAACTTTTTTTCTATAGAAAACGATCAAGCAAAATGCAATAAATGTTCACATATTAGTTCTATTCGTTATATTGATCAGAACAAGGAACTGGAAAATCATTCATCAATCAATATATTAAAAACTAATGTTATATTAATATATATATATATATATATATATATATATATATATATATAATAATACAGAAAGAAGAAACACTGATAAATTTGGTATATCATTATTTTAACGTTTATTTACATATATTTTTGTGAACGCAATTATAAATATATATTACAATAAGAATGATGTATAGAGTATATAAAAATAAATTAAAAAACAGAAATTTGTTATACATGTATTTATAATAAATAATATTATTTATTATCGAGGCAATTTAATATATAGCACATATCAATTAATATTATATCAAAATACAGTAAAAAAGTTTGATATATTTAGTATTTTTATCTAATAAATAACGATGGTAATGAATAAATATGTTTAAATAATAGTGAAAGAATTTATTTGTTCGAACAGTATTCGCATATGTCGATCTTTTATTATGAGATGTTGCGTTAATAAGTTCTTTCTTATTAATAATGATTTGTGCTTAATAATTATATATTATAACAATAATAAATTTATACATATATAATAATTATTTGTAAATTATCAATTTTATTTTTTTCCGTACAGATTATTAGATAATTTACAAATTTTGAAAATATTTAATGATGCCAAGGATATTGCTAAACCAGGAGGCAGCAATCAGCAGCCACGTCAGAATATTAACCAAAGTTCTTTCAAAATCACATCACCAAGGTAAAAAAAACCAATAAAATCAGACTTACTATATTTCTTGTTTCATTTATTCGTCTATTTACTTTATTTATGTACATGTATAAGTACAATAGATATTACAAAGAGTAGAATTGTATATATATAAATTTGTTATTTACTATATTTAATACTCCTGTAATTTATAACAATTTAGATAAGTATATAGATTGTGAATAAATAAGAATTATATAATCTGTTAGAAATGTTTGTGTTTGAACATTTTAATATAATTGCATATACTACTAAATTTTATTATATAGATTAATTCAGAAATTTTTATTTTTGTGCGCAGGTTATCAGATATTTCAGAGTTTAAAAGTTCTGATAATGACATAGAAAATGTAGGTACATCAGCAATAAGCAGCTATGATCAGCCAACTCCGAATATTGATCAAAGCTCTTCCAATAACACATCAAAAAGGTAAAAGAAAGCAATACAATGATAATTACTATATTTCATCTTTTTAATTATTCATTTATATTTTTATGTATAAGTATAAGTAGATATTACAATGAATAGAATTGTGTTTCATAAATAAAATCAGAAAATTTCGTCAGTTAGCATATGTGTTTGCCCTTAAGTATTTTAAATATTCGAATCAAGATTACTTAGCCATTTTAAAAAAATACGATTAATATAAATTTGTTAATTATTATATATTCTTATTATATTCAATATTTTTATAATTAATAAATTATGATATTTTCGTTAAGTATAAAATTGTTATATAAATTAAAGAATTGGTTAGAAATTATTCGAATGAAATTTGTATGTCGAATATAATGAAAATTTGAAATTTGAGTTTACCGTGAAAAATATTTATTAATAATAAAAGTGTTTTGTTAAGGCTCCTGCATACTCGCCGCGGCTATGTTAGATTGTGATGTCAGATGCGAGAAAATTTGAATACTATTTGTAAATAAAAAGTTATTTTGATGAAACAGAGAATTTCAGATGGCTTTAGCATACATTTAAAATATCCCGAGCACTGTCCTTTTTTTTATAATCAATTAGCAGATGTAAAATGTGACAATAATATAATATAAAATTTGAGGTTTAATCTGTATATATTCTCGCACGCATGCACAGCCATTTCGCAGGACAAAGTCTAATGTTTTAATTTTTATTTACGGTTATAAATTGACTGCGCCAATAGAAAAAATAATTTTCGAAGCATTTTAAAAGAGTGATAATACCATCTAAGGTTTTGCTTTATCAAAATATCTTTTCGTCTATAAATGGCACGCAAAAATTCTAAAGTATATTTTTTGTAAATATAAATTTTAAAGTGTAAGGTAGGCAATAAGAGCCATTCGCGGAAGACAGTGCGTTATCCTAACAATACTAAATTTTCTCGTTAGAATTAAATATCTTGTGTACAGGGCACCAAATTTTACTTGGTCACGGCCAAGATTTAAAATATGAAATAATCTCATTTTTTGAGATTTAATTTCAATAATCCTATAACCCCCTTACGGAAAATAAATAAATGCAAGAGAAAAATATAGATCCGAAAGTCGCTGAATCGGGAATCGAACCCGAGACTTTTCGCTTGCCGAGCGACTGTTCTTCCAACTGAGCTATTCAGATTTTTTCGATTCTATACTTTTCTCTGTTACAGAGCCGTGTTAAACTCTTATTCGTATATTTTTTGCTTCTGGCGTTACAATCTAACATAGCTGCGAGTACCAAAAAAGCCATAATTAACACAATTTATATTTATTAACTATACATTGTACATACACATTATTTAAACAAGACATTATAATATTGATTAATTCAGTAAATTTTATTTTGTAATTTTGTTTAGATTATTAAATGATATAGATTTAGATATTTCGAGTGATGATGATGATATTGAAAATAATGCTACATCAAGCTGTCAGCAATCATTTTAGAGTATTGATCCAAATTCCCTAAAAATTTAACTAACGAGGTAAAAGAAAATTACGATAAAATCTGTATTACTGTGTATTGTATATATGTAGTATATCATCTCTTTACAATCATTTATCTACATTTTTATATACATAAAAGTGAATATTAAAATAAGTAGAATTGTGTATAATTGAATAAAATCATAAAATTTAGATACAATTATTATATGTTTATTGTAAATAATTAAAATATTTCAGACAACACATAATTTTTGGTAACCAAAATTATATCAAAATACAATATAATACAAATTCGTTAATTTTACTATGTTCAACATTCGTGTAATTGATTAGTTGTGACAATTTAGATAAATGTAAATTGTAGAAAATTATATGAATTGTATAATTTGGTTGGAATGTTAATACTTGAAAAAATATTTATATATCGAATTTATGAGAATATTGAATTCAAGTTTTTCTGTGGAAGATGTTTCAATAAAAGTGCTTTGTTATTAAATAACAGTTTATATTTAAATAATTATACATTGTGCGCATTATTCAATCAAGACATGTATAAAATCGTTTAATTTAACAAATTTTATTTTTATTCTGTGCAGATTAAGTGACGATGACAAGTTTGAATGAAGACTTAATTACTAACAATGATGGCCAAATTATTTTCCTTAAGGAATATGAAATGGTAATTAAAATTAGGATGCTTGCTATTACGGATATAATAAAATATGAAATTAAAAAATAATTGAATGTGTATTAATATTGTGTATTTTTATGTAACTAAATGTGTATTAAATTAAAACGATTGATTTGGATGTGTATTAAATTTTGTGTATTTTTTATGTAATTAAATGTGTATTAAATTATAACGAATGAATTTGACGAGGTTCGGTCGAAAGTTTCATTTTCAAGATAAAATTCTGAATTTTGTGTGAAATATGCGTGGTGGTTCTAATTTTTATTTTTGAGAAAGCGAACAAATATTGTTTACATAAATAGATTCTTCGTGTACATAATAAAAATTCGACAAATCAAAATTATATACATATTGTAAAATTAAGAATTATGATTATGCACATAATCAACATACAGCGAATTAAAATTTCATGATATGGAATTTCGGCGAATCAAAATTATGAACTATAATATAGAAATTATTCTATGAACTGTAATATAAAATTCGACGAATTAAAATTATCTACATAATAGATATTCGCCGAATTTCCGAGTTCCTTTGACGGGGTACGTTTGTCGGGGTATATTTTTGTGGAAATACAATTTTCTTATAAATACTTTTATGTAGCATATATATATATATATATATATATACATGTACGTATCATTTCGTTTAATATAACCATATATAATTACGCATGCAAAGCGAAGTTATATTATTCATTGATAATAAAATATCAAAAATTGCGACGCATGCATACAAAAATTATTATTGCAATCAATGCCTAAAAAATATATTAATTATTTATGCAACGCATAAAAATTCAATATTTAAATCTTTTACAGAAAATACGAACGAAGAAATAAAATTTAGTACAAGAATCTTTTCTGATTAAATATCTACACTTTCATTAAACTCGCGCGAAACTCCATGCCCCATACTCCGTAATGCTGCCCGGCTCGCGCGAGACTGATTCACGAATGCGGGTCCGATGAACACGTGATCAGTGGTCAAATGATCAGTAGTCATGTGCAGTTGTAAAATGATTATAATATGATATGAAGTTTGAGATTTAATCTGTACATATTCTCGCACGCATGCATAGCCATTTCGCAAAGCAAAGTCTGATGTTTTAATTATTATTTACGGTTACAGATTGATTGTCAAAGAAAAAAATAGTTGTTGGGGCATTTTAAAAAAGTGATAAAACCATTTAATTTTGTGCTTTATCATAATATCTTTTGTCTGAAAGCAGCACGCAAAAACTTTTAAATATATTTTTTACATCTGACGTTACAATTCACATAGCTGCAAGTACCAAAAAAAATCATAATAACAACAATTTATTTTTAATAATTATACATTATACATACACATTATTCAAACTAGACATTTTATTACTGATTTATTCAGTAAATTTTATTATTTTATTCTGCGTAGATCATTGAATGATAAAATTTATATAATATGTAAGCTCATTAAATGTTTATCGTAAACAATTTAAATATTCGGGACAAAATATAATTTTTCATGGCCACTATTATATTAAAATACAGTAATAAATATCTCTTAATTCTAGTATGTTCAATATTCTTATAATAGATAAGTTGCGACAATTTAGATAAGTGTGAATTAGATAATAATATTGCAAGATCTACCGATAAACGGTTTCAGAAAGAAAAAATACGGACAATTAAAAAGATTTTACGAAACAATTGTTTCCCCATTGACATAATCAATCGGTATATATAAAAGAATTAATTTCTTAAAATATAATAAAAATTCTATTAGTAGTGATGAAAATTTATATACATCGCAAGTAAAAGCACCTTCTATTACAAAAATATTTTAACAAAGAATATAGCTTGATATCAAACAGAAAAAATGAAAGGTTGTGAAAAAACGCGTATATAATTTATTGTAAAAATGTAAATATTTATATATACAAAGACAAATTTGTGCTTCAACGTGTTTTAATAGTCACTGTTTTTGTAATGAAATGCTGATAATCTAGAAGAAGTTATGAAAAGAAGTTAAAGAATTATATAATCACAAATATTACAATAAATGCGAATGTTTCCAATTTCTACTTTTTACGTTAACAAAAATTATTGCTGTCTATACAAATAGAGTATATGATCAAATTAATCAAAAATAAAAGACAAAATGCGAAATCTATCAAAAATTATAATAAATTTTTATATATGTTGGCATAATTAATAAGATATATACTATATATGATAAATTAAAAAGATGTATTATTGTATGTATATATTTATATATTATCGTATATGCTTAATAATGCTATACATATATTTTTTATTTAAAACATATTGCAATAATTTTATATTATTTGTAACATGTAGTATATGTATCGATCATCAACAAATTAAAAACGCAAAAACCTCTAATATTAAAATATCATGAAAAAATGTCTCCGTGTATATAATTTTTATTCAATATACAGTACCCTTTATAAATTTAAAAACACCTTACATTTTACAGTTAAACAATCGTATGGTAACGATCTGTGTAGATTTTTTGTACTAATAAATCGTAAAATATCTGAATAACATTTTTATTTATGACAGATCGCTGCCATGCGATTGTTCAACTGTAAAATGTAAAGTGTATTCAAACTTGTGAAGGGTACTGTATAATATATAATTTTGACTATTTACTTGAATTATTTTTCTCTTTCGAGTATATAATCCATAAAATATGTTTAAAAACTTTGAAGAATTATTAACGCAAGATTAAGAAGAATAATTCATATAATATTCTTCATACCATCATATAATAAGGTTACTAAAAATGTGTAAATTTTATAGTAAAATTTAAAATTTAACGAAAAATATTCTTTCTGTATATAATTTTTATTTAACATAGTTTTGACTATTTGTTTGAATTATTCATCCCTCTATCTCCTTCTCTATAAAATATAGAGTCTGTAAATAGTATCAGTAAGTTTGACGAATTATTAACCCAAAATTGAAGATAAGAATTATTTACACATATTTTCTGTCATATACAAGATGTCCCAATTTTACAAGATTACTCATTAATGAGATTCTTAAGATTATTTAAAGACGATTTTTTCTCCTCGAAAAGGAAGGTGATCTTTTTGCAGGCTCTTAATTTTTGTTACCATATATTTTTGTGATTAAGTTTTAAATTAAAATTTTAGTAAATTAAATTACATTTAAAATTATCTGAAAGATGGTATTGTGTTGATAATTTATTTCCACAAGGCTTATTAGTTTGTGAAAAATCTTTCATTTTCAATCGCTTATTACTGAAAAATATATGAAATCGAAAAATACATGAAAAATAACTGAAAAATTATTGGTATCTCGAAAATTAATCTATAATTAACCATAAGTCTGGGACACCCTGTATATATATATATATATATGTACCATTTATCGGGTTTGTCAACGAGTTTCATCTCGAATTCAAGAACAAGTGATCGCGAAACGAAAACGCAAAGAGACGAAACTTGCAACATGAACAAGCTGGATTTTCAATTTTAGCTCATAAAGCTTTTTTACATCCATTACAATATTTCACATAAAATAGATTTTATATTCGAGAATTTACATTAAAAAATTAGAATTCAAAATTTTGTAAAAAATAAATCCTTTCACCGATCCTTATTTAAATTCAATATCAGTCATTTTTTAATAGTACCTACGCTATTTATGTAAAAGAATTTAGTTTAATATTTCAAAATTTACGGAAGTTAGAGCAATTACAGATATTCTTTGAAAAATTGAAGGTACATATTAAAATCTAAAACACTATACGAATTTTTATAAAAGTGACGATAAATAAAAATTGTACTACTTTACTTATATCTTAAATAAGCGCTGTAGCTCAAACAATTATTGAGTAATAAATGTTTGATTTTTCGGAAAAGTAGTTACATACATGCATGCATTAAAAATATTATTTTATTGAACTGCACAGGGAAAATATTTAAACATCTTAATAGCTTAATATCATCGAGCTGTAGGCAATTTTAAAAAGAGTGAGAAACAGATTTCCTCCTTTAGCATCTTTAAAGCAATTGGCAGATAGAAGAATGAGACAACATTCCACTGGAAAAAGGCATGGCCCAACATCTTATTAATAAACAAATATAAATATTTTTTTACAGGTGTTCACATTATTTTGTTTAGCCCCTGTATATAATAAGCAAATATAATAATATATAAATATATACACAATAAAATATCTTTTTATTTTTAATATATTACATTTTTTAAATTATTCCAGCATACATAAAAATTAAAGATAATTTTTTAATAGATTCGGCATTTTGTCTTTTATTTTTTATTAATTGGATAATTGACTTTAATCATTTTGGCAGAACTAATTTTTATTGTTAACTAAAAAAGTAGAAAATGGAAAAATTCGCATTTATTGAAATAATATTTGCGATTAAATAATTTTTGTAACTTATTTTTCTAATGTATAAGATTATCGGTAGTGGATTACAAAATCCGTAACTATTAAAACACAAATTTGTTTCTGAATATAAATATTTACATTTATACAATAAATTATATACGCGTTTTTTCACGACCTTTCCTTTTTCTGCTTGATAGCTTCTATATTCTTCGTTAAAATATTTTTATTTCGTACTTATTGTCAGTAGTGGTCTGATACAAAGCAGATATCATGGCAACGTCAAGCTCAGTAAGTAATACTTGGGTTTTAGATTATTGCACGATAGAAAATAATAAGGCAAAATGCGATATTTGTTCCTGGAATCATAATCTTATTAAACAACAGTTAAACCAAATAAAAGCTCACATAACAAGTAAACATAAAGAGATTTATCAGAGTATTAGCTCATCATTAGCAATCAGCTTTAGTTCAACAGAATCGACGGAAGTTTATACAATAAAAAATTATGACGTCTACTGCAATTTTTGTAATCAAATTTTTTTTGGAGACAAAACGTTCCGTTATATGCAAAATCATATAACGAAAACTCATACAGTTGAAATAAATAAAGCAAAAGAAATCTACAAATGGCTGCAACAACATTTTGACGAAAATAATATGGATGCAAAATCGTGCCGTTGCTATTATTGCAATGATGACATTCCAATTAAACCAGTATTTTTAATGTTTCATTTGATACAAGTGCATGCGGCTAAAATACCTGAGGCGATCAGACCAACAAAGTAAGAATTTAATATTATTACTTTTCGTCTATTCACTTATTAATAAATAAATAAATAAAAATAAATTTATGTACAATACGTAGAATTGTGTATAACTAACAAAATAATAAAATATAGATATTTAACATATATTTATCTCGAGTAATATAATTATTCTAGTCTAGTATTATACAGTGAAGTACTATATGACAATTTGAATATAAGTGAAATTTTGAATAAATATAAAAAGTGAATTATAAGAAAAAGAGAACTTTTGTACCCGAATAGCATTTTTATATTGTTAATTTATGGAAATATCAAATTCGAATTTTGAGAGACGATCGAATACTAAAAGTATTTTATTAATGATTGTGTTTCATAATTATATTCACTGTACAATTTATACACATGATTTAAACAAAATTTTATAATATTGATTAATTCAGCATTTAAAAAATTTTTTTATTTTTTACTCTTTATTATACAGATTATGGGAGTGTATTGCAAATAACAACGAATGGATGTGGAAATTTGTCACAAAATATTTATTAACAAAAAATGAGGAACATGCAAATTGCAATATTTGTGACAAACGTTTATCTATCACCGTAGATTACGCAACTATAAATTGCCACATATATAATAAACATAAAACAGATTATGGAAAACAGATTTCATTACAAGTTTTACAAGAAAAGAACCTTTTTTCCATAGAAAACGAACAAGCAAAATGCAATAAATGTTCACATATTTGTTCTATTCGTTATATTGATCAGAACAAGGAACTGGAAAATCATTTATCAAATGAACATAAACTTGATTACGCTCAAATGAATAATTTTGTCAATTGGCTAAAATTGTATCGAAATGTAATTTATTTTCAAACATTAGAATGCAATGCTTGCAAGAACATTTCTAATGACAATTATTTTAGTTTAATGAGACATTTTATTGAAGAACATCCAATCAAATTTCTCTTACATCTAATATCAAGAAAGTAAGAAAAATATACTTTATTTTTTAATATTATATTATCTTTTATAAAACGCGTTTAGAAATATTATAATTTAATAACTCTAAATAAATTTTATCTATAATGAGCAGAATTGTATGTAAGTAAAATTATAAAAACTAAAATATTTCATTTATGTGTTTCTTAAATATATTAAAAACTAATGTTATATTAATATATATATATATATATATATATATATATATATATATACATATATATATATAATAATACAGAAAGAAGAAACACTGATAAATTTGGTATATCGTTATCTTAACGTTTATTTACATATATTTTTGTGAACGCAATTATAAATATATATTACAATAAAAATGATGTATAGAGTATATAAAAATGAATTAAAAACAGAAATTTGATATACATGTATTTATCATAAATAATATTATTTAATATCGAGGCAATTTAATATATAGTACATATCAATTTATATTATATTAAAATACAGTAAAAAAGTTTAGTATATTTAATATTTTTATCTAATAAATAACGATGGTGGTGAATAAATATGTTTAAATAATATTGAAAGAATTTATTTGTTCGAACAGTATTTGCATATGTCGATCTTTTATTATGAGATGTTGCGTTAATAAGTTCTTTCTTATTAATAATGATTTGTGCTTAATAATTATATATTATAACAATAATAAATTTATACATATATAATAATTATTTGTAAATCATCAATTTTATTTTTTTCCGTACAGATTATTAGATAATTTACAAATTTTAAAAATATTTAATGATGCCAAGGATATTGCTAAACCAGGAGGCAGCAATCAGCAGCCACGTCAGAATATTAACCAAAGTTCTTTCAAAATCACATCACCAAGGTAAAAAAAACAATAAAATCAGACTTACTATATTTCTTGTTTCATTTATTTGTCTATTTACTTTATTTATGTACATATATAAGTACAATAGATATTACAAAGAGTAGAATTGTATATATATTGTATAAATTTGTTATTTACTATATTTAATACTTCTGTAATTTATTACAATTTAGATAAGTATATAGATTGTGAATAAATAATAATTATATAATCTGTTAGAAATGTTTGTGTTTGAACATTTTAATATAATTGCATATACTACTAAATTTTATAATTGAAATTGTAGAATTGAATATAATTGAATTGAGTCGTAAAATTTATTTAGTATGTAAGCTTATCATATTTTTATCGTAAATAATTTAAATATTTGAGACAAAACGTAATTTATGTTAGCTATTGTTATATCAAAATACGATAATAAAAATTTATTAATCATATGTTCAATTTTCTTATAATCAATAAGTTTTGACAATTTATTAAATAAATGTAAATTGTGAATCATATAAATTTAATAAATCTACAGGAATGTTTGTACTTGAAAAAAAAAAAAAAAAAAATATATATATATATATATATATATATATATATATAATATATATATATATATTTTTTTTTTTTTCAAGTACAAACATTTCTGTAGATTTATTAAATTTATATGATTCACAATTTACATTTATTTAATAAATTGTCAAAACTTATTGATTATAAGAAAATTGAACATATGATTAATAAATTTTTATTTATTATTTATTATTTAATATATATAATATATATATATATATATCAAATTTATAAGAATATTGAATTCAAGTTTTCTGTTAGAGATATTTTAATAATAATAAGGTGAGAGATGTTTTAATAAAAGTGTTTTATTATTAATTAACAGTTTATATTAAATAAATATATATATATATATATATATATATCATTTTGTTTAGACTAACCGAATACAATTATGCGCGCAAAGCAAAGTTATATTATTCTTTGATAATAAAATCTTAAAAATTTACTTTAGTCATTTTGACAGGACTAATCTTTGCTAACTTATTTAAAATTATAAATTGAAAACATTCGCATTTTATTGTAAATTAATTCGTGATTGTATAATTTTTATATTCATTTTTCTAATCTATAGAATTATCGGCATTGGATTACAAAACTGTAACTGTTAAAACACACGTTAAAATACAAATATCTCTCTGATATTTACATTTATACAATAAATTATATGTATATACGAGTCTTTCACGACTTCTCATTTTTTTCTGTCTGATATCTTCTATATGCTTAGTTAAAATATTTTCTTTTTGTATTTATTGTTAGTAGTGCACGACAGATAATACAAAGTAGATATATCATGGACACGTCAAGCTTAGAAGATAGTAATTGGTTTCTGAATTTTTGCACAATAGAAAATAATATGGCAATGTGCGATATTTGTTCCTGGAAACGTAATCTTATTGACGAACAGTTAGACCAAATAAAATCTCACATAACAAGTAAACATAAAAAGATTTATCGGAGTATTAGCTCATCATCAGTAATCAGCTTTAGATCATATGAATCGACGCAAGTTTATGCAATAAAAAATAATGACGTTTACTGCAATTTTTGTGAACAAATTTATTTTGGAGAAAACAAAACGTTCCGTTATGTACAAAAGCACATAACGGATATTCATATAGATGGAATAAATAAAGCAAAAGAAATCTGCAATTGGCTACAAAAACATTTTGGCAAAAACATTGTGAATGCAAAATCATGCTGCTGCAATCATTGCAATAATGACATTCCCAATAAATTAGTATTTTTAATAATTCATTTGGAACAAGTGCATGATGAGATTAAAATACCTGAGGAGATCAGACCAACAGGGTAAGAATTTAATATTATTACTTTTCGTCTATTCAATTATTAATAAATAAATAAATAAAAATAAATTTATGTACAATACGTAGAATTGTGTGTAACTAATAAAATAATAAAATATAAACATTTAACATATATTTATCTCGAGTAATATAATTATTCTAGTCTAGTCCTATACAGTGGAGTACTGTATTTTAAAACTTCTATAATCAGTGATAAGTGACAATTTAAATATAAGTAAAATTTTGAATAAATATAAAAAGTGAATTATAAGAAAAAGAGAACTTTTGTACTCGAATAGCATTTATATATTTTTAATTTATGGAAATATCAAATCCGAATTTTGAGAGACGATCGAGTATTAAAAATATTTTATTAATGATAACAGATTATGTTTAATAATTATATTCACTGTACAATTTATACACATGATTTAAACAAACTTTATATAATATTGATTAATTCAGCATTTTTTATACTTTTTTTATTTTTTACTTTTTATTATACAGATTATGGGAGTCTACTGCAAATCGCAAAGAATGGATGTGGAAATTTGTTACAAAATACTTATTAACAAAAAATGAGGAACATGCAAATTGCAATATTTGTGATAAACGTTTATCTATTAACGTAGATTACGCAACTATAAGACACCACATATATGATATACATAGAACAGATCATGGAAAACGGTTTTCATTACAAGTTTTACAAGAAAACAATTTTTTTTCTATAAAAAACGATCAAGCAAAATGCAATAAATGTCCACATATTAGTTCTATTCGTTGTATTGATCAGAACAAGGAACTGCAAAATCATTTCTCGAATGAACATAAACTTGATTACGCTCAAATAAATAATTTTGTCAACTGGCTAAAATTGTATCAAAATGTAATTTATTTTCAAACATTAGAATGCAATGCTTGCAAGAACATTTCTAATGACAATTATTTTAGTTTAATGAAACATTTTATTAAAGAACATCCAATCAAATTTCTCTTACATCTAATATCAAAAAAGTAAGAAAAATATATTTTATTTTTAATATTATATTATCTTTTATAAAACGCGTTTAGAAATATTATAATTTAATAACTCTAAATAAATTTTATCTATAATAAGTAGAATTGCATGTAAGTAAAATTATAAAAACTAAAATATTTCATTTGTGTGTTTATTAAATATATTAAAAATTAATGTTATATTAATATATATATATATATATATATACATATATATAAATATAATACAGAAAGAAGAAACACTGATAAATTTGGTATATTATTATTTTAACGTTTATATACATATATTTTTGTAAACGCAATTATAAATATATATTGCAATAAGAATGATGTATGGAGTATATAAGAATGAATTAAAAAACAGAAATTTGATATACATGTATTTATCATAAATAATATTATTCATATTCGAGTCAATTTAATATATAGCACATATCAATTAATATTATATCAAAATACAGTAAAAAAGTTTATTATATTTAATATTTTTATCTAATAAATAATCATGGTGGTGAAAAAATATGTTTAAATAATAGTGAAAGAATTTATTTGTGCGAACAGTATTCGCATATGTCGATTTTTTATTATGAGATGTTTCGATAATGAAAGCTTTTTTTATTAATAATAATTTGTGCTTATTAATTATATATTATAACAATAATAAATTTATACATATATAATAATTATTTGTAAATCATCAATTTCTATATTTTTCCGTACAGATTATTAGATAATTTACAAATTTTAAAGATATTTAATGATGCCAAGAATATTGCTAAACCAGGAGGCAGCAATCAGCAGCCAGGTCAGAATATTAACCAAAGTACTTCCAAAATCACATCACCAAGGTAAAAAAAACCAATAAAATCAGACTTACTATATTTCTTGTTTCATTTATTTGTCTATATACTTTATTGATGTACATGTATAAGTACAATAGATATTACAAAGAGTAGAATTGTATATATATAAATTTGTTATTTACTATATTTAATACTCCTGTAATTTATGACAATTAAGATATAAGTATATAGATAGTGAATAAATAGGAATTATATAATCTGTTAAAAATGTTTGTGTTTGGACATTTTAATATAATTGCATATACTTTCAAATTTCATAATATAGATTAATTCAGAAGTTTTTATCTTTGTGCGCAGGTTATCAGATATTTCAGAGTTTAAAAGTTCTGATAATGACATAGAAAATGTAGGTACATCAGCAATAAGTAGCTATGAACAGCCAATTCCGAATATTGATCAAAGCTTCTCCAATAACACATCAACAAGGTAAAAGAAAGCAATACAATGATAATTACTATATTTCATCTTTTTAATTATTCATCTATATTTTTATGTATACGTATAAGTAGATATTACACTGAATAGAAATGTGTTTCATAAATAAAATCATAAAATTTTGTTAGTTAGCATATGTGTTTGCCACAAGTATTTTAAATATTCGAATCAACATTACTTAGCCATGTTCAAAAAATACGATTAATATAAATTTGTTACTTATTATATATTCTTATTATATTCAATATTCTTATAATTAATAAATTATGATATTTTCGTTAAGTATAAAATTGTTATTCGAATTAAAGAATTGGTCAGAAATTATTCGAATGGAATTTGTATGTTGAATATAATAAAAATTTGAAATTCGATTTTACCGTGAAATATATTTATTAATAATAAAAGTGTTTTGTTAAGGCTCCTGCGTACTCGCCGCGGCTATGTTAGATTGTGATGTCAGATGCGAGAAAATTTAAATGTTATTTGTAAATAAAAAAGTATTTTGATGAAACAGAGAACTTCAGATGGCTTTAGCATACTTTTAAAATATTCCAAACACTGTCCTTTTTTTATAATCAATTAGCAGATGTAAAATGTGACAATAATATAATATGAAATTTGAAGTTTAATCTGTATATATATATTTTTGCACGCACGTACAGCCATTTCGCAGGACAAAGTTTAATGTTTCAATTTTTATTTACGGTCATAAATTGACTGCGCCAAGGGAAAAATAGTTTTTGAAGCATTTTAAAAAAGTGATAATACTATTTAATGTTGTGCTTTATCAATATATTTTTTTGTCTATAAATGGCACGCAAAAATTTTAAAGTATATTTTGTTTCTCTGACGTTACAATCTAGCATAGCTGCGAGTACCAAAAAAGTCATTATTATCACAATTTATATTTAATAATTATACATTGTACATACACTTCATTTAAACAAGACATTATAATATTGATTAATTCAGTAAATTTTATTTTTTATTGTGTGTAGATTATTAAATGATAATGATTTAGATATTTCGAGTGATGATAATAATGTTGAAGATAATGCTACATCAAGCTGTCAGCAACCAATTTGAGTATTGATTTAAATTCCTCCGAAATTTAACTAACAAGGTAAAAAGAAATTACGATAAAATCTGTATTATTATGTATTGTATATATCATCTCTTTTCAATCATTTATCTACATTTTTATATACATAAAAGTGAATATTAAAATAAGTAGAATTGTGTATAATTGAATGAAATCATAAAATTTAGATATAATTATTATATGTTTATATTTTTATAATTATTATATCTAAATAATTTAAATATTTCAGGCAAAACATAATTTTTGGTAGCCAAAATTATATCAAAATACGGCAATACAAATTCGTTAATTTTACTATGTTCAATATTCGTGTAATTGATTAATTGTGACAATTTAGATAAATGTAAATTGTAGAAAATTATATGAATTGTGTATGTATAATTCGGTTGGAATGTTAATACTTGAAAAAATATATATATATCGAATTTATGAGAATATTGAATTCAACTTTTCTGTAGAAGATGTTTTAATAAAAGTGCTTTGTTATTAAATAACAGTTTATATTTAAATAATTATACATTACGCGCATTATTCAATCAAGACATGTATAATATCGATTAATTTAACAAATTTTATTTTTATTCTGTGCAGATTAAGTTGAGATGACAAGTTTTTGAATAGAGACCTAATCACCAACAGTGATGGCCAAATTATTTTTCTTCAGGAGTTTGAAATGTTAATTAAAATTAAGATGCTTGCTATTACGGATATAATAAAATATGAAATTAAAAAATAATTAAATGTGTATTAAATTTGTGTATTTTTATGTAATTAAATATGTATTAAATTAAAACGATTGGTTTGGATGTGTATTAAATTTTGTGTATTTTTTATGTAATTAAATGTGTACTAAATTAAAGCGAATGAATTTGACGAGCTTTGGTCAAAAGTTTCATTGTCAAGATAAAATTCTGAATTTTCTGTGAAATATGCGTGTTGGTTCTAACTTTTATTTTTGAGAAAGCGTACAAATATTTTTTACATAAATAGATTCTTTGTGTACGTAATAGAAATTCGACGAATCAAAATTATGTACATATTGTGAAACGAAGAACTATGATTATGCACATAATCTACATACAGCGAATTAAAATTTCATGATATGGAAATTCGGCGAATCAAAATTATGAACTATAATATAGAAATTATTCTATGAACTGTAATTTTAAAATACGACAAATTAAAATTATCTACATAAATAGATATTCGCCGAATTTCCGAGTTCCTTTGACGGGGTACGTTTGTCGGGGTATATTTTTGTGGAAGTACAATTTTCTTATAAATACTTTTATGTAGCATATACATATACATATACATATACATATATATACATATATATATATATATATATATATATATGTATGTATGTATATGTATATGCTACATAAAAGTGTGTGTATATATATATATATATATATATATATATATATATATATATACGCCATTTTGTTCAATCTAACCTAATATAATTACGCGTACAAAGCGAAGTTATATTATTCTTTGATAATAAAATTGCAACGCATACATAGAAAAATTATTATTGCAATCAATGTATAAAAAGTATATTAAGTTTTAAGTATACAACGCATAAAAATTCAATATCTAAAGCTTTTACAGAAAATACGAACGTAGTAATAAAATTTTGTACAAGAATTTTCTGTGATTAAATATCTACACTTTCATTAAACTCGCGCAAAACTCCATACTCTATACATCCGTCACGCTGCGCGGCTCGCGCGAAACTGATTCTTGTGCGGGTGTCGCGAGCACGGGCCCGATGGTCACGTGCTCAGTGGTCACATGATCAGTAGTTACGTGACACTGGTCACGTGACCATCGGACCCGCGCTCGCGCTGCCCCGCACAAGAATCAGTTTCGCGCGAGCCGCGCAGCGTGAAGGGTGTATGGGGTGTATTAATTTGATGGAAAGGATAGAAAGAGAGAGAGTTGCTTTCATCGTGCATCGTGGAGAACTGTGCAGCGTAGTGGACGCGTAGACGTGTCCTAATGGAAATCTAATGGAAGCGCAGATATTTTGTTTGAAAGATTCTTGTAGAAATTATATTTTATGTTTTCTGTTAAAAATTTTAAAGTTTTATTATCAAAGAATAATATAACTTTGCTTCGCGCACGTAATTATATTCGATTAAACTAAACAAAATGAGAAAAAAAAATATAAGAGATATATATCTATACAAAATAATTCTCAAATAATACAATAAAAATTCGGCAAAGTAAAATTATGTACATAATAAACATTCAATAAATTAAAGTCATATACATAATAAAAATTCTGGAATTAAAATTATGTACATAATAGTAATTCGGCGAATTAAAATTGTGGTCCTAGCATCAAACAACTATCATTGCAAAGATTAACAATTTGACAATTGTAAAATGAACAATATAGGAATGATATAAAAAAAATTTCCTCGCATTTTTTTATAAATATAGATAGTACTTTTTTCAATATTTTCAATGAGCAATTGAAAATTTTGTATTGTATTTACAAAATTTATATATATATCTTATATTACTACTATACTCTTTTTTATTTAAAAAAGAATAAAATGTTACAAACTCTAATCTTCTTTTAAATTCATTATAAATTTCAACAATTTAATTAAAAAATGTTATTGGAATTTCACGAAATATTTTAATAAAATTTAACCGAATGCATTTAATATTCATTCAATTAATATACATAGATAAAATAAAATATCAACTTGTTTTACATGATTATTATGATTTTTACGATACATTTAAGAGAAAATTCTCTCTGTGTAAGTGTAACTAATAAAAAAAATTATATCTCGCTTATGTGTGAATGAAACGAAGTACCGAGAAACGACGGGGCGATAAATTTAGAGAGGGAAGATATAGCTAAACAGATAACGGCTATAAAGACATACGCGCGCCCCATATTAATCGCGTATAAAATGGTCCCTACGGTACAATCAGTTATTGTCAATCCGTAGATAAGTTTGAATAAGGGAAAGGGGGCTAAACAAAGAGTAGAGCGGCAGAAGATATTAGAATTATGAATTAAAAACGCAGTATTATATTTATTATTTTTATATATTTATTTTATTATTTATATATATTTTATATTATTATATATTTTATATTTCTTATATATTTATATATTATTTTTATATTGCTCTATTTTATTTCCTACACTCGTCAAAACTTTACTATAAATAAAAAAATGTATGTATCGATTTATAATTGAAGTTATTCAATCGCGCAGCATTTATTTGGATGACAATATGTCGAAGTATAAATATTTCGGATTTGTCAAGCTAATTTTTTTTAGAATCTTGATTTTAAATTACAAAAACTGGATTATAAATAAAAATAAAAATAAAAATTATTGAAAAATACATCTGTTTACATCGTGACGCTGCGCAATAATTTGAATTTTCTCATCTCTGTGAAAAATAGGCCGCGTGTGATAAGCCTATAATAATAGGGGTCGAAACTTGTGCTCGAAATTGTCCCCCGGAGAACCGATGGTTCCGACAATCTCGATCACTAGTTGGTCTCCGAGGAACCCGGAGTATCCCCCGAATTATACATATCAAACCCTCACCTTGTGTATCGTCTTTTCGTTCCTTTCCTCTATCACAACTCTGAAATCCTACAAGCCGTCATATAAATGCTTTTTTATTCGCTCTCTAAATTATTCTAGAATTAAATGATGAAAAAGGGAGACATTTTGTGGAAAAGAGTTCAAAGTTGTAAAATTTAATTCTACCTCGGATCACATTAATTATTGCTGCAATACTAGTCCTATCTCATCAATCTTAGCATCAATTAAGAAAAAAAGATACATTTAGTATAATTTTATATATAGTTTAATAGGCAAGATAATTAAAATTACTTTCATTTATGTTTTATCATATTATTATTATACCGATCATTAATACTAATATTTTTTCTTATCGGTATAATTTATTTATTTATTTAAATGCACACAGATAGATAATATGTATATATATGATATATTTATATGTATATATATATATATATATATATATATACTTAATTATTAATATATAATTAATTAATATAACATTTAATAATAATATTCTACTGATGAGAAAAAACAAACCACAAAAATTGGACTAAAAATTATAACTAAATCTCTGTGACAAAAGGAAGATTTTATTAATCCAAGAAATCGAAAAACGCTTGTCTCGCTCGACTGGTTTTCGGCACAAAATAAAAGAAAAAACTAGCTACGCGAAAAGTTTTCGTAATGCAGTATGCTCGACGGATTATAAAGCGTGTCGTCGAGAAAATCGCGGAGAAAAAGTAATTTCAACTCTTGTGCCATGTGTGTGCTTCGACCGCGAACTTTTTGAAGCGTACTAAACATATGTGTCTTTTTTTAATTCGAAATAATTGCAGTTTTTCTCCGTTTGACTCTGAAACTAAAGCGGAAGGTATCGTCGGTGTTCTATTAATATTTATATTCTATTAATATTTATATTAATCTCCCACAATTACATTGTTTTTTACAGTCGCGTCCATATATTATGACTTTGGCAATTGAATTACAAACATAATTTATGCAACATAATAGAAAAAGCAACGCATCATCCCCCCATCCTTTTGTGATCATAATCTTATTAAATCTTTTTTCGAATTCATTTTCTGTAATCTCGCGCATTCTGATTGTCATTAAATCATCCTTGACCAGATAGAATTGCTTATAATTTTTATACTTGCAATTATAATTTTTAATAGAACTAGCAACACAAGCGCGCGCCTCCTTAATTTTATATTAAAAAGATTGATATTAAAAAAATCAATAAAATTTAAACTCCATTAATTTTTTGACAGCTAATAGCTGTTAAAAGATATGAATCTTTAAATAATATATTATTAAAACACATTAATATGTTTTATTAATAATTAATTAATATGTTTAATTGTAAGATGATTAAGCAGGCTCCAAAATATGGGAAACCGTCAACGAAATGATCCTCAGTTTGATAATAAATAATTTCGAAAAAACATACGTCAATACCTAACATAATGATATCTAAAATAGATTCCTAAATTAAAAAAAATTAATTATTGCTTTAATGAGTGACAATAATAAAAAATGCATATATAATTTTAAGACAACGAATTTTTATTTTCCTTTCTAACTATGAAAAACTATAGTCGAAATCACTCAATCGCAAATTAGTAAACACTTATTTATCAGATTTTAATTATATATACACCGAATCATTTAAGGGGATGCTAAACGTCCTTGAAAAAAGCCTTATTTTTTCCTGTTTTATCGACAAAATGTGAGATTAGATAAACTATAAATCTATTTATTGACTATACGGATTGTTTTTTACCTGAAATTAGAGCGCTTCGCTCTTTGTTAATATTAATACTTTAATTTGTAAAAGGAAAAAGATTTATTAATCTGTTATAGTCTCATATATCTTCAATACAGAATTATGAATGCTTAGAATTCGACTCGAAACGCAAACTTCTCAGGTTTACATCATATTTTTTATATTGGATAGAATTAGACTTATTATTATAATTCTAACTATTATTATTATTATTATTATTATTATCCCATATTTTTTCCTTTAAGGGGATGCCGGAGAGACGGCCGAATTCCGATAGGTTAGCACCACACATGTCTAAACATATGCACGTATACAACACATATGCGTGAAAATTTT